GCTATCTTCTAGAGTGTTTAGTTTCGTTCGTTTCCAGAAACTCATCTCGCAATGTGTCTGAAGTTGGCGTATGTAGTCGAATGCAAAGATTAAATTTTGTTGGAATGCAGGTGTGATTGCGGTCTTGTGGATGCTTTATGAGGTGCGAAGCGGGGTTCGCTGCCTGGAGTGGCTGTGGGAAATAAATTTTCAAGGGTGGTCGCACAGCAGCTTATGATCGATGTTGTTGGATGTGAACGAACGCAAGTCCGAACAAGGATGATCAGCTGAACAGTATGTGCGCTGTATTGCCACGTAATAACTTCCAGATAATTATTATGCCAAGGCATTCAGAACATTTCAAACGCAACGGTGCTTTTTCGACATTGTAGTTGTAGCGATCCAGCTGTGGTGGAGGCGACGAGAGCTAAACGATTGGAAAACAAAAAATGACTTCTGGGATTGGATCACGATTTATTTGATCAAAAAATGATTAAATCAGTGATAAGGGAATCCCTGTCACGCATTTCGCAGCGAGCTAAATTTGTGCCTCATCGGGAGACTGAATTGGGAAAACGGCATACGAGGCGTGTCAATCCTGAAATGTTTTCGAATACTATCTGCTTGCTTGACTCCTGAGTATATTATTTCTCAATTTTGAAATGGATGAAACTAAAATCGGAGTTACATACGAGACAAGACGAGATATGAATTGGCTTGGGCTAACTGGTCTCATTAGCCATCAAGTCTCGCTTTCCCGGGACGCCCCACTAGTACGCCCGGATACACTACCAATGGGTACCGCGGTCTGTGTTCTACCTCCAATCTCCATGCTAGCCAATTGGGCTCAGAAAGCTGACCTGAAAGAATTGCATAGTGATGTGTAGCCGTGTAGCCCCTTGCGACTCTGCGCGGGACATACACACTTACCAGTTTGCCGGAGATTAAGGCAGTAGTCCCAAGATATCTCGTCATGACAAAACCATGATCCCGGATTCTCAGAGGAGTATGTTTATGACAAATAAGAGTAGAAAGAATAGTAGAAGTGAAGCACCTAGCAGCGAAGATAGAACGTGATCCTTTCGAAGTCGTATGCCGCTGCATGAAACGATGTAACTGAATAACCCCCACCTGAAACTCCCATGGGCGTTTGTACATACTCGCCTATAGAATCATCTCGGGTATAACTACATGAAAGGACAGTGTAACTTTATTAAGAAGTGAGATCCGTTATGTCTGCCGCATTAGTTCCCGATACAATTGGTATGCTTTGTATGTAGAGTAAGTACGGGAAATCTACAGCAGGGGTGACCCCAAACCGTGGAAACGCATACCGCCTTTCACCCTTGTGAGCTTATTCTTCCGCGAGCTTCAGGAGTCTAGAAAGGAGAAATTTAAGCTTTTCTAAATGTCCAATTTGTCAAAATAAACAGACGAATATACCCTGCTTATATACAGGGCAACCCACGCCGACTCAGCCAGAGTGTACCATATTCTAGGCTCTACCGCAATATTGAGGTACCACTTCGTACTTGTGCAACCATCGGAAAGAAGGATACTTTTTAAGGCGACTACGCTCTTAAGGATGAGGTCTGTTTGGTGAGGATTCGACGGACTAACAACAGAATGTGAAATCGTAGGATGACTGTTCTCCTTCAAAAATTGTATAACCTTCTCATCAATCCAGGTTTTTCTGTTACTTCTTAGGTGAATGTGGCTGGAATACGAGTACACACACGGTCTATCTCTTTCGATATAATGACGAGTGATTATGTGTGGACCTGCACAATGGAATATCACTCGATACTTGCAACAGCAACAAGGCATGACAAATCTCGCTGCCATCTCTCGCTCAAGTTATTATAATAAAGCTTTTATCTAATGCTGCTTTTAAGTGGACTTATCAAGCTTCGCGGTTCCCGAACTGACGTACCGAAAGCAGCATTTTACAATTACAATGTGCTTATGACGTAACATGTTGCACACAATCAACCACAACAAAGTAACTATTCCTTCTCTCCATCTAAATGCTGTTTATATTCGCCATGCTGTCAGTCTTCCAGCTGGGACACAGAGTACACAAGATGAACTTACGCAGTTGAACGCTAGCGTTGGTAACTTGATAATTGTCATGTTATCTCGATGTGGAGTTGGTGGGGTGTATATGTCATCAGAAAGCTTTAGTCAAGCCCCACTGAAGATCAAATCACAAATTTCGAATAGATCACAATGTGGATATCCCGTGATTTCCGAGTACAGATGTTGACCTCTCGTGCCCAGACTCGGGTGAATGGTGTAGAACGCCCATTGCGTCCATACTTTGGCAAGCTTGAATACGTTATACCATCCACAGGTGCTAGCGAGGTAAGAGCTAGGGCAAAGCGTCTGGGCACGAGAAAACAAATGTTATGGTAACGAAACGGAACGGTTGTGACGAGTTATACTTAGTCCTAAGATATAAAAATTATAAGATGGACAGGAATTTCTGTTTGTATTCGTTGCTGTGGTGGATAGTTTGTGGTTGTTTTGCAGAAATAATCGAAATCGTCCACTCAGAGGGTTCTCGAGACCCAGATCGAGTGATACATAATGAGTCAGCCAATCGGAATGCAGGACATTTTCGGCGTTGCAAATCACTCTCATGACCAACTCCATCGTGCTCTTTAGTACAAGACATAGATTGACTTGAGCCTGTTTTTAGTAGTCACATTGCCCCAAGACGATGGTGAAACGAAAACAGTCAACGAGCTGTTCTTTAATTGATGATGAATGGGTTTTACAATGGTTCTTTTTTCGTCGTAGCGAAATGTTTCAGATAGGGAAGTGCATGGCCGAACGGTATTCGGGTACGGGGCAAAAATCGAAAAACCCACGCGTGTCTGCAACAGTGGTGGGAGTGCTGGGAGACAAAAAAATGGAAAATACGACCTTGTTAGATGGTCAAAGCTCCCATACAATTCCACTATTTAATCCAATCACACTTATTCCTTTAAATGCTGGATGTTGGACATGTTCCAAGCTTGTTAAATTTCGTTCCAGATCGTTTTCTGATTTTTGCATCCATACCCGAGTGCATGACGAAGACAACCGTATTTTCTGTGGTGGGTTCGATTCCCATCCTCCCTACCGTATGGGTGGTCGACATCTGTCATGCTGTACGGGGTCTAGTATGGATGGTTTATGCCTTAGGGAGGTTTCTGGTCAATGTAGCTTAGGAGAGTGTATCAAATGTGGTTCAGACCTATTGCTTGTTCGGCAGGCTGCACATTTGCAGTAGTCATGGCAACTGTGGACATTCATGTATAACCCCAATTTAATGCCAAATGGCACTAGACTGAAACAATTCCTTGTTTGCATCATTCAGGAGGAGGGTAATAATGAGTTGTCGTGGTCGCAACCGCTAAGGTTGCATACCGAGAGGAATCATTATTATTCTTATTATTATTATGTTTAATTTAGGTACCCTAGTCGATACGGCGGGGCACTAAGTGCGGGGCATTAGTTCATTGATCTACGACAGGGATGTCCCCGCACTGCTGATAAGGAACCGGTAATTGCTAGCAGCCCTAGAAAACCCCTTACCTCATCGCCATGTTGTCCGTGCCGAGTCACTTTGATCGGGCGAATCAATACCTCCTTTCACAAATCATGCCTGAAGAGTCACAAGACAATTGCGAAGAGCAGCGCCGAAAACAAATCAATTACTAAAAGTCACACAAAAGCTGCTTCCAACACATCAACTCTTATAAACGCATCCAAACCGTCTCTTTCCGCACCCGGCCCAAAACTATTAGTATCCCTCCACAATCAAACGATTCTTAAGATATTTAGTAGATTTATAGTGCTTCCGCCCACGTTCGCCAGGTCCAACCCTGCATTTACAAACTTTGCACTTCGCACTACACCCGTGATAAGTCGGATGCCATTTTCTCGTTAGCATTCGGTCCAAACGTAAGATTTCTTTATCTACTGGCGCTTCACCCGGAGGGTTGCTAGAAAAAGGCTCAGGCTCTAGTTCAAGAAACCATAGCTCATTGTAGGCTTCTGTGGTGGGGTCAGAATATTCGATCCATGTTTCGGCATGATTATAGTGTCATGTTATACATAGGCACCACCGAGTCAATTCATCTAGTACCTCCATAATTTGGTCCATCCAGCGGACACCTTCATGGTTGTAAGAATCTCAGGGAATTTGGGACGGGTATGCTTGGTATTGTTAGCAATTGGCATGTGGACTCTAAAACGACAATGATGTAATGTCATACTACATCACTCGGAAATGGTACAGACCAGTTCCCAACCCAGTTCGAGAAACATTCAATGAATAAGCCAAGCGCTGCTATTGTCTAAAGACGTTAAGATCACTGAATCTACGGAATTCTATCCTTTGTAGTGTGAGGTTGCTTGTCTGACATTCACTTTATCATATGTATCTTGATGCTGATCGAAAATCCTGCAACCCGACCAATAGAACCAGTCGATCGTTCACCGTAATATACGCCGGCATGGTTCTGCGGAAACCTTACGCATATAGGCTGAAGTGGGGTTGCCGCCGGTAAATGCTAGGCATCACCGGCGAGCCCTACACAGTAGGTGAATGGAAAAGCATACGTCAGACCTGCAGTGCAACCAACCCTTCCCATTCCTGGCACCAAAGAACTAAACAACAAATGCCTCCGTAGCTCAGTGGCAGAGCATGAGAGAAATGCACCCAAACCTTGTCAAAGCGTCGGTTCTTCTGGTGGTCCTCCACAATTACCAGTTTCTCCTAAACGCCCACAACAAAACAAAATCTCAAGGTCGTGGGTCCGAATCCCACCGGAGGCAAACTTTTTGCTTCATACCTAGGTAATGATTTTTTGTTAATACCGTGATGCACTGTAGGGCGGGTGGGTTAATTAACGACCACTTTGTGTGAATGTTATTTTAATCAACCATTGTTCCGAAATTAAGTCATATACTTGAGCGGTTACTTATTGTACGTTCACTATTCGGCGACATTTTTGGTGTTGTAACAAAAAGCCTCCGTAGCTCAGTGGTAGAGCATGAGAGAACTTTGATCAGTAGGCCCAGCGCGATGCTTCAGGGTTACCTTTCGCGCGGTAATACCATGGAAGTATGGGCCCAATGCTGCATCTCACAGTCGTAGGTTCAAATCCTACCGGAGGCTTCATTTTTAGTGGTTAATCTTTTGGTTCTTATGCTGTGACGGATGCTGAACCAAGGAATTGCACCCGAAGTGGATTTTCACCGTCGCACGACTTCCTGCGGTTGGGATGGTGTGCAGCCAACCAGGAGATTTCGCACCCCACCTCCAACTATGGTGGCAATGCCCACGTCAATTCAACTCGTCCGGCTGAGTTCCCGGTAGACCCGGCGGTGGGCGACCTCCACGTCGTAAAGTGAGATGCTAAATATCAAGGCTTCTGGGAGTTACCAATATTACCAGCGGGCTTCCGGATGTTTGGAGATTACTCGGTTTTGCATATGGGGAGTTTTTCAGGCCGTACAAAAGCCTCCGGCAGTGAGCTGGTTCCCGTTCTCCCACTTCATTGCTGGTTTTCACTTCGACGGGTTTGCGATCGATCCATAGCTGTTTTCCATAAACCATGTCGGGTAGTAATGGTTGGAAGAGAAGCCTCCATACCTCAGTTGGTAGAGCGTGAGAGTAATTCCCCTTTGTCCGTAGCGCAATATCTGCTGGTTGTCATGCGCGGTAACCAAACAAGCATAGATACGGTGCATCAATTGTTCTCAAAACCGTGGGTTCGGGGCTTAACTTTTGGTTGTGGTTCCATGACAGTTGAACGCATCTGGGTACGTGCATGCGCATCAGTGCACGTAAAAATACTGTTAGTTTGAGAGATGAATAGATGCTTGATTGTGATGTCTAAATCTATGCCGAACACCATGGTCTATATAGTGCCTGCCATACTCTCTAGAGCTCTCGTGATTATGCACTAGCATATCCTCGTATCTTCATACACGTCTCAGGTTCCCATACAAGCCATGATCTCATACAAGATCTCATACACATGATCCTGATGCATATATGTAACAAATACGTGATCGCTGTTAGCGAGTGATAATCATGAGGCACAGTTATCTGCCTTGGCTCACTATATGCATGTGGAATAAACTTTTGGTTGCATGCATATTTCAGTTACCGATCTCGTAAGCTTCCAGCCAATCGGCCTTCCGACCTATTGCACATTTCCGATTCGTCTAGATGTTCACTGTGTTATCTTACTTGTCTGTATTTACAGCTTCTTATCAGAAGCCTCCGTAGCTCAGTGGTAGAGCATGAGAGAAATTTATGGGGTCCGCAGCGCGATGCCTGCTGGTCGCTACGCGCGGTGGCCTGTCAAGCATGGAACCCGGCGCGGAACATTCCTTCCGCATCTCACAGTCGTAGGTTCAAATCCTACCGGAGGCATTATTTTTATCAGACGCGAAGTCGACTCTGAACGTAATCAATCCAATACGGCTGGCAGATCAACAACGGTATCAACATCCCACATTCTTACTCTACTGTACTCTCCGGGCACTACCTTTAATGTGAGCGTGAGTTCTCTCGTGCCCAGATTTCTATCCGAGCTCGCAGGCTCGCTCGGCTAGAAATTTATTTTCGCAGTCTGGGCACGAGACAAGACCGTGAGGGAAACTTGACGGTATTTGTAGCGCAATACCTATTGGTGTAACCAATTAAGCATGGACATTGCCGATGTCTACATATTTATTTCAAGTGCATGATCTTGGGCTCGACCGTTAGCTTTTGATGGACGGGCGGCTTGATGGATGATCGCATCCGGTTTTGTACTCGAAGTAGATGTAAAACCAGGGCTTGGCAGAGGGAGATAGCGAGGTACTCCATATCACGTTCATGATCGCGGTGGTCTCGGCACAAGTGAGTGATGACCAGCAGAAGTAACTGCTTCTTAAAAATCGTGGACGACATCCAATCCTCGCAAGATCATCATAAGGAGTTTTCTGGGTTTATTATATACATGCTGAATACACTTTTGGACAGTATCGTGGTTTCACTAGTATCGACAATGATATTGGGTGTGTGGAGGAGACTGCTGCCTTGCATTGTCGCACAGGAGATCCCATCATTGACTCACATCAGATCCAATTGAATTAATGTTCAGTCCGCCTGAGGACACCCACCAGCTTTTAGTGAAAAAATCTAATTGGTTCTCATAACATGTGTGATATCAGATGCCCAGAAAGAAGACCACAAAGAGGAATTCGTACCGGCTGCGCTCTTGCACCACCGCAAGCCCCACTCTGCATATATTTAAGCTCTATCCCCCCCTAAAAAAAAAAAACTGTTCCAGCGCTGCCGCCCAGCCCGGCATACCAGCAAAAATTGTACTTGAGTATCTTCGCCTGTTTACTGCAAAAGAATGTTAGATTCAATAATGTGTAGCTGGGAGAGAGAGTTACCGTGCAAGTGCTTGAACTTCTTTTGACTCTTTGCGTGCTCTTTGGTGGATTTTTTGATTTACCCTCGATCTTCGAGCTCTCATTTGTGACATCCTGCGTTGCCTATATGAGGTTTCGAGCTGCGGGTTGAGACGACTTCCGTATAGATGTAAACGACTCGTAGTTGAGGGCGAAAGAATAAGCAACGACGATCGAGGAGTGTCGGAGAAGTCCATGGTTGCATCTCGGTCTTCCGGCGCAGACTTTATGGTGGGCGTCGGTACAAGAGCTTCCAGTTCGTCGATAAACCATTGCAACTCCTTCAGTAGCTTCTCCGATTTCTTCTGCCCTGAAAACGACCATCTCATTTTCACGAAAATTGACGCTCGTTTCTGTACTCTCGAGGTCGAGAAGCGGATGGGAGTTCGATCGTTGTTTTCCAAAGATAGTTGTGTGCGGTCTCGTCGTTCCGTGGATACGCGGTGATGCTTCGAACCATGTCGTTCCGAACCCTCAACAAAGTGAACCGCCCACGCCAATAGCTCCTGAACTCGTCCGTAAACCAACGGGTTCCGTAGTCTTTCATGAAGTTCGACACCCCCGGTCAAACCCACTGCTTCTCCCCATAGTGATAGTCGGAGTCGCTCTGCTGCAACTTTCGAAACGAACAAACCACTTTCCTCGGTGTATGAACGTGCAGCGGAAATTCGATCGAACACGGTGAGGACGGAGGAGTATAACCCAGCGAGACCGAGAACAATGCCGAGAGGCTCCATGGTGTTTTGAATGCCGGGGAGGTATGGTGCTGGGCTAAATTGTCGAGGATGTATTAAATTAGTGACAACCACGCATTTGACTGATGGTGAAGAGTGGTGGAGGTGGGCGAGAGAGATGGCGTGGAAATGTGGGAGGACGTACAGTACGTACCACCGCAGACAAACCGTTGGTAAAGCAAGGCGCACTCACCTGCCGAAATGGCTATGCCTCTGCGGCGGAAAAAACTAACGCAGATTCTTTTCCAATGAGGTTATAGAAGTGCTGCAGCACTGCCGCTGTGCTTCTAGAAATCATGCATGATGCAGCCTCGTTTTGAGAAACCAGGTAAGGCCATCCCACCACCCTACCCTGTTCACTAATATCACCAATGGCGCACTTTTAAAGGCATCTCATGTCGGTCTCTTTGGTTGGACAGTTAACAACTGTTATTGATGTTTGTGGTGATCGATGGGCTAAAGGTTAGGGTTATATTTCGATGAACGTAAAATCTCCATCACCAGAGATCACACCGTAGTTGTCGAAACATCTTGATAAAATGAAGTAGCCAAATGTTTTTCTTTCGTCTACACTTAGTATGGCATTTTGTAGCGCACTACCATGCAGATATCCTCCGGTCACTGATAAGTAGTAACAGGTATTTCGCATACACCTCAGGCAATATGGGTGTAACATCTTGACAAGTAACAAGTTCCGCTTGGGATGGCTCGTCTTCAGTGGTGATGCGATTAGCAAACTAAGGCTACGTTCCGAATTCCAAATCTTCCCCCCATCCCCACCTTTGTGACCTTACAAAAATTATAATGCTCCGATGTTATGCAATTGCAAGATTCATCCCCGATGCATGCCTGAGTAGATAAATTCTGTCCCGTGAGTTTTGTAGTGCCTATGCACTGCATTAAATGCGCGCAAAGCTATTGTGGGGGCCCAGAATAGGGCGGATGATGGACGGCCGGCGTGACAGGAGATAGAAGTAAAAAGAAAAACGATGAGCTCATACAACTAAGCTATACAAAACAGAAGCGGGGTATCGAGGCGTCATGACGCGGAACGTAGCGTGAAACAGTCTCCTGATGAAATCCGTTTACCAACCGACCTGTTCAGAAGATGTCCTGATGATCTTTCAATTCACTCTATACGAGGGTGAAATTTTATGATATGTAATCTGAGAGTTATGTGTTGACATGATCGTTGAATACAACGTGCAGCCACCGTTCGGTGGTCTTGTAGTTACGCGCAGATCCGCATACTTGCCTCCCACAGTGTGTCATTGTATGTCAGTCGCTCTGTGGACAGAAGTCGAGTGACACAATATGTTTTGACTACTTGAGCCTGGAATGGCGAGACGAACTCAGATTCGAGGCAATTACTGGCCAAAGGTACCGTGAGGGCGTCAACGCACCTCTGCGCTTCAGTAACAGTACAAATCTCATCGTCATAGGTCACATCGGAATCAACTGCCGCCGAAGACGGCACCTCACTGGCCATTTTACACTGCTGAATTGAATATGTGATATCAGCCAATCCCAGAACACCTGGAACCTTCGAATGATTTTTGTGACACCACACTAGTCTAGAGCAATCAGTATTTGATTCGTTCGTCTTTGCCGAAGCGCCCGGCAGATTAATAAACACGACTTCCAGACTGAATCAATCAGTCATGGGCTAGAGAATGCTCGTTTGTTGCAAACTTTTTGGCAAGCTGACGTAGGTTACTTGTCTCACAACTAGAATTAGAACAACGATTGGGTGGTAATCCCGCGATTCCCGCGACTCCGCGACCCCGCAAGCCCATTCTCAGCTGAAACCCTCATTTTTGTGAGTCAGTTGCATGACAGAAAAAATAATTTTGCGGGACTTTTGATTTCTTCTGCTTGTAGAATATGAAACATCGTTTTCTTGCTTTGATGAATTGCAACATGTTATGCGGTTAATCACGATCGGCGCGGAAGGGATGAAGCATGTGAT